AGAAAATATATTTGACATTAGTAAGTCTTATGGGAGTATTGACACAGTGATCGCCAGATTTACTGGCGGGAAGAAAATATTCTCGGCAAAAATAATTTTTTTTCTCAGTGTATAGGGCGTCAATCACTCCCGAAGTTTTTCTTTCTTATCAACTGATCGATAATGTACGGAAACTATCTAAATTATCCACTTTTCCGACAAAATAATAAATATATTGTGAACAAATATAATAATTGATAAAATATCAACCTGAAAAATTTTTCATCGCAATGTCTTCCACCCATTATTTTAAAATTCGATATCGCTGATAATTTCTGCATTAGGTCTGACTTTCGTTTTGGGATTTGACAATTTTTTTCTACACTCCCATGTTTAATTTTTTCTTCAATTATGAGTAACTGTTGAAAATTCTTTCACTCGTCGGTTCAAAGGCCGCTCCAAAAGTGGACGCATAAAACAACGAACATTCTTGAATATTAAACAGCCTTACAAAAATATTAAACCTATTCATCGTTTAAGTTTGGTATGTTTCCATGCCCAAATTCTCCCAGACTCACACGTCACATCCTCTTCCCAAAAAGATTATAAAAAAAAACACTGAATTTACAATAAACCTTGAAACTAGTCCGGGGAATAGCAAAAATTTACGTGGCCAACATACGTCTTTCACATATTCAAAATGTCTGATGTGTAGAATGAAAAAAATTCTTCTAGATATGACGGTCGATTACACGGGAAACAATAATCACCGGACGTAACTCAAGAAAAATATATCATTCAACATCAAGAAAGCAATAATTCTACTGTGGTATACGTAACACACACGGAAAATCACGGCGGGAAAAACACATTGTGACAGGTTTACACACATAACAATTATTAACGATAACTCTATCATGATGGATGTAACTTCCACTTCTAAATATTATACTAAAATTTATATCGTGACTTACTGCGCAATGTGTTTCATCGCTCCTTTCCAAAATTTATGTACAAAATTTCCCGAAAATTTTTCTGTAATTGTCTGATTTCAATGTTTTTTTAGCTCTTGTTCTGGTTTTTATCTCGATAATTTATTTAATGGCGCAATCAAAATTGATGTAGTGTTTGTAATGGAAGAGAGACATTAATTTTTAATCCTCCAGGTCTTCTTATTCATATGGAAATGATATGAAAAACTTGGAAACTTGGAAAAAAAATGGAAGATTCGGAAAATAGATAGCCAACAACAACTTGTGCAGGTACATTTTTTTAAAATGGTAAATGCAAATCTATCATTCACTAAAGTCCAGCTCTGGAAAACCCCCGAAGGAGTTATTGCCAATCTCCTCTCATTTCTCAAGTTTTTTTTTACAAATTTCTGAGAAACGGTTGATAAAATTGACATTAAAAAATATATGGTTTTCAAGTTTTGTTATTATTTAATGTCTCACGAAGAATAACCGTTGAAGAATTTTCCTGCGTTTTCCGTAAACTTTTACAAAAATTCCCAAAACTTTACCAAAAATAAAAAAAAAATAGGCACCCGACTACAAAAATTAGTGATTCATTGAATAATGATACAACCTAAATAAACCATATATTTTTTCACGTGAACCCAACGCAGCATTTCCCAGAAATTTCGGAAAGAAAACATATCGGTAATAACTCATTAATTATCCACCGATAATGTTATCTTTTCCCCACACTCAGATTCAAAGAAAAAACGCGTTGAAAAAAAAAAATTCACCGTTACAGTACTTTTCCAAAGGTAGAGCCAACGTGTACATTCGATGGCGTTCCATCCTTGGTAACAATCGCCGGATGAGCGATCTAACTCACAAGGAAAACTAAAAAGTCCGAATGAGAAATCGTCGATTGCATGTTTGCAAATGAGTAAAATAAAACTTTCGCAACACTCGACACAGCTGGAGTACAAGACCGATTGTTAAACACAAGAGAAGAAGAAAAGAATAAAGGAAAAAAAAAAGCAAAAACTATTAGTCATGAAGAAGGCGAGAAAAATGGTTGTTCTGTCCTGTTATGTTATGTTTAAAGTTTAGAAAGCGCTGAGACACTGATGAGTCAAAGTCCTGGGGATTTTAGATATCCGCTACGTGAGTTCTTTCACTTGCTGTTGTTACGTCTAGTCTCATCGTTCAAATAGAAGTTTTGCACCCCGAAAAGTTGAAGTAAGCCGGCATTCAGTTGTAGTTTAAGCCCGCACGTTGGAAATAATAATACCGTACAGATAGAGGAAATGAGAGGGAACGATGTGGGTGAGTAAGATAGGTAATAGAAACCTACGTCAGCAGAGGCTCTCGAGCGTTGCCAAATATCGCAACTGAAATACACCCGTTGGTGGCTTGAGTGCCGGCAAAAAAGCTTTGGCAAAAAAAAAAAAATTCCAAGCGAGAAGCGGAAAAAACGTCCAAGTACATTTCCTACATACACATGAGGGATTTCACGCCAAATGAGTCGACCAATGGTCCCTGTCTCTCGCAGATTCTTGCCAATTTTTTCTTTAATTCATGACGCTAAAACATTCTCTCTCCAATTTTCCGCGATTTCTGGACATTTTTTATTGTTAAATATTGTTTATTCCAGTATGGATTTTCTCTCGGATTTTTTTATGAGCTATACAGTTTCCGATTTGATAAGTAATATCAGGAGATTTCAGATTTCTTCGAGAGATAGAGTAGCAATAAAATAGAAACAAAAATAGAGTTGGAAATACGTGGCAATATTTTTATTACATGATTTTTAAACTCGTGCTCAAAGTTTTTTATTTCATTGTGTAGAGGATTTTTATTTTTTTATGTGGCATTAAAATTTCCTTTTCTACAACCTCTGAAATTATAGAAAAAAATTTTTCAATGTATAGATACGTGTGATAATGGATTTTGGAAAGAAGTCGCGAGAGCCGATAAATTTACCAATAATTTTGCTTAAACAAAAGACGTTTGTTAATCCGTTATTCAAAGTATGGATTCCACCAGAGATATATTTTATTTTTATTTGCTTTCAGAATTTTTTGCAGAACAATTTTCCGAATTTTCCATATTTTTTTAAAAAACATGTGTAGGGCTGCACAATTAATGAGTTTATGAAGATGCCACCAAAATTTAAAATAAATTAAGAAAATGTAAATTAAAAATGATCATATAAATTATAAAGAAATAGTGGAGACAAGCCAACACCAGAAATAATAGAAAGAATTTTTTAAAATTCAACATGAATTTTTAAAAGGGCGATAATTAGCTTCTCATTCATTTGACATAAAATACCTCATATATGTTTATCACTTGAATCATTGACGGTAAAATTTAATCCCACTTCCAAGTTTTACTCCTACGTCTTTATATTCAAAAAGAGTCTTGCGGGCTTTTGTCCGAGTTCAAAGAGCTCAACTTAGCCTGAATTGTCTCATTAAACCCAACGACAAACTTCACAAACTCATTACCAACTTTACACGCTTCCAAAACGTCATTAAATTCAATCCAATTGAGTTGTAGAAACTTATTTTTTTAATAAAGCATGTGCCTCGAGATTCTGCAAACGATGCAGAATCACCGTTCAATTAATATGAGAATTTTGTTTGTTTTTCAACCGAGAGATTGAAACGTATTTCTCGTGTAAAAACGGAGATAATTAAATGAATGGGAAGTTATGGAATCATAGAAGAGAGAGCGGAGGTCAATAACAAAGGCTACGGGACGATTCAAACTCACGAAAGACTTCATCAAATTAACGAGCGAGAGACCGGTTAAATTGACCCTTGGAGACAAGGGCTAATTGGTTGGTCTTATTTTAAGCAATAAGAAAAACGAGTAATTATCCTATTCCGTGCAAAAACCCTCACATAGACGCGCTCCAGACATTCAAATGTCTTCTGAATAATCTCGAATATATTAATAATCTTCGGATGATCGAAACAATCATTTCAAACATGAAGAATTACCCAGCCAACTTACGAAATTAAATTCTACCTCCGATCGATATCGGTATTATTCAGGAAGTGATCAATCTATTTCGGGGAAAGTTCCTGAACAAAGTAGAGAGTTAGAGAGTTAGTGGAGAAAGATTGAGTGGTAAGGGGTGATAAGTTAATTTGAGAACAATTTTTTTACGGAAATTGTATGAAAGATTCTTTGCAGAGAGTTTTATCAAAAATCTTCCAAGAATAATAAAAATATTCGGCTGCTATCGTTAACTTCAGACACGGGCTGGCAGTTTTTTCTTACTAGTGTGACAGACCGTCTCTATCTTCGTCATTTGGAATAATAATTAAATCCCTTCGGCCGGAAAGTCCCTCAAGGCCAATCCAGCAAAGACGGAAAAATGCGGTCGAGTGAACTTGACAAACAGAAGATTATGCACTGCTAGAAATTT